CAGTGCTTTGCTGCCGGTCCAGATCGGGACTTGTTCTACTGGAGTTAGAATTCTCTAAACTCGTTTTAAGGGAAATTACACAACACTGTGTGTCTAGTGAACTACAACAACGAAGTACGTCCAGTAAATCTGGACAGAAGATTAAACGTAACAGTGTGTGGAGTTGTCAGTTGACGTGGTCTTTGCCGACGCAATAAAAGCTTTTTAAACAGCCGAGCGACCGGCTCAGAGACAGAGACGCTGCAGCTCAAAGTGCAGCCACTTCATTTTTACTAAATTAACTGAGGGTTGTCACAGAGTGAAATGTAGCTCCAGCTTTGGGCAGTAAGTACCGTAAAGAGTCGCCGTCTGCCTTGGATTTCATTTTATCACCACCAAAGTGAGTGAAGTGCAAAAACTTTTAACAGTTATTCCAGTGGTAGTCCGTCACAGCGGCCTCCTCCTGTCCTCCCCCGCACACAGGAGACACTTGAAAAGGAAAGGTTTCTTAATCAACAGAAGAGAGTGGAACAGAACTGTTTGAAAATAAATATTCCCCTGAACTTGTCAAACGGCATCTGAAAACAAAATAAACTGTTGTGTAACCGCACAGAGCAGACGGATTATCAATTCCACTGAGTGGGTGAGAACGGCTGAGGCTGAGTAAGAGTTAATGATGTCGACACTCCACTGGGGGTTCACGCAGACACAACATGTTTGTTTTTTTGCAGCGTTACAATTTTTTAAATATACATGACCTATAATAAAATCTAAAGTGCTGTTAAAAACTGATTTAAAATAAAACAGTGACAAAAGTCCCCGTAAGACTATGAAACCAAGGCAGAAAAACTGCAAAGCCAGGCATCGCAATTGGATTTGATTTGATCCGGTGGCACGGAGCACCACAGTGAGTGACGATTATCACTCCCACAGCAAGCACCAGAATGGATTTAGCATTTTATCTGACAATCAGGACATTGCTTTTCTTTAAATCTCTTATTGGATTAGCGGACACGCTTAATAAGGTGACCCACCGACGAGAAGCAGCTGAACATTATATTACATTTCAGGGCAGATTAGAACGTGTACAACTTTGGCCTCCTTCCAATATAATCAGGGCTTCAATCCAAATATTTACTCACGCACGCATGCAGCTTACACACGCACACCCAAACACACACTCACTCTCTCTCTCTCTCTCCCTCTCTCTATTAGAAGGCCAGGAAACATGCCATCCATGCGTTTAGCTTGATCTTGTTCCATGTGACCATTAGCAGGTTATCCTCAGAATTCAGTCTCCAGGAGAGTGATGATAACTAATAGTGTGGCCTGTGGCAGATCTCAGCCAGGGTTTTCCACTGGGGCAGGTGAAGTAAGGATGTACCCAATAAGATAATACACAGAGCCAGAGGCCACGAAGCGAAGCCTGAGGTTGACTGACTGTCTGGTTAGAGTCTTCAAACCTCAGGGGTGGACACAACTCAGCAGTCTCAATACCAATTATTCCCTGACAAAAACCTTAACTCTCTTTTTTTTTTACAAAGGTCAAAGCCTGACTGATAACAGCAGCAGTTGGGAGCTGGACTAAAGGATTCCTTAGTTTGTTTAACCCTAAGATTTGGTTTTAAAAAAAGGGGGATGAAAAAAATTCTCAGAATGAAAACCTGAAAAGTCTTTTACCTCAAATGCCAAAGCCTAATATCTATAATCCTATAACAGACCTGAACTTAAGTTCAATCATTAGATTCAAATATCTAGAAAATGTGATCCACTTCATAATCATCAATAAACCATGAACAGATGTAAAAATCAATGTCTGCAATACATCCACAGACTAAAGAACATTTAATGTTAGGATCACATTCAAATACTTTAATAATAAAATAGCTTTACTGTTTAATTGTTCAGAGAGTCAGAAGACAAACTGGACAGGTGTGTCTATCAAAACAAAGAAATGATTTTCAAGGCTTAGAATGATCACATTTTAACTAGAGCTCATAAAACTGTTTATAACCCCCATAAAGCAATAGACAGGACGTAAGGGTCAATCAAAAACACTGACCTTTGGAAATGCCTGACCAACACGTGCTCTTATAATGTCCCTGTTTACATGAATCAACAACCAAACTGCAGTGAAATATTTCAAGAACATATCATTTTCACCCTCATTCCAAACCACCTCATTTATCCCATTTGCAAATGATTCAAGGTTAAAAATCAGAGCACTCTAAGAAGTAGACGCTGGTATGAGAAAGTCAGCCAGCGTGCCAGACGGAGAAGTAGACAAATGGACAGGTGGTTGGACACCGATCTAGGTTAGGGTGGGCAGACCTGAGCCCTTCTTACTTGTCACAGTCCACTCCTTGTCTCACAGCTCAGCAGATGGGCCTCGCAGCACGTCCCTCTGTTCAGCAGAGCTACTGTACAAAGCAACGCGCACGGCAGAGGTCACCACTTCGACATCAGTGAACGGAATAGAGCCTCAACAGGAGAGCGGGCCGTAGACTGCACACACGAGGAGACGGAGGCTAAAACTCTGAGAGATCTGACCCAGAATTGTGTTTCCAAAAGACTGTTACATCTGATGTGTGAGTTTTGCCATGTGTTGTTCCTATATATATGGAGTATTAATATATATAAGAATATAGGACTTATTTAAGTACAAACTATTGTGAAATTGTATTTCTTATTCGCTGGATGCCATTTGTTCTAGAAAATTAATATCATTGCCTTAGAATTTAGGTTTATTAGTGTGTTATAACGTACCAAAATAAATCTTATATATTATACAGGAGTATTACATGAGTCACATACTGTATATTAACAAATACTATATATAGCATGAGATGAAGGTTTATGGAATATATATTACATCATCACAACCTCAGCCAAATTCCACATGAAGGCTGGTCGTCCTCCAAAGACCAATGGTCAAAAGGTCAAACAGTGTCTCATCACTGAGGAGCTTCTGAACTGCAGTGACCAAAGCGAATCAACCTCGGTGTTGAAGCAGGTCTTATTGACAGAGGAGAACTACCTGCCACACTGGAAGGAACTCAAAACCAGTTAGTCAAAGATACAGGAGGAAGCGTCACAGTTTGGGGGATGTGTTGTGCAGCAGGAGAAGGGCTTTAATCAGATACTGCGCTGAGGTGTTTATCAGATCCTTCTTTAACATTGTGTGGTTCCCTCCCTGCATTCATCATAAGGCGTAGGGCTCCCCCACAGGACACGCCACAGAGAAGACAAAAGATTTTCTGGAAACTTTCTTGAAATGTTCTTATCTGTTCGCTGCTTATTAATCGATGACTGCTGTCACATTTGGGATTTTTACGCTACAGTCAACTCTGCACTACTAAATGTGATCATTGTGTTTCCCGCAAAACACTGTTCGGTGTTATTTGGTTGCCATGGTCAAATGTTGGAGCAGCAGTGCATAGCAACAACAAAGAAATACAGGACAGTAATAGAGAAAAGAGGAGCCTGTGAGTCAAAACGTGGGAAATACATCTGTGTGGATAGGGTTACTTGACATGTGTAGTGAATTTGTGTTTTTCAAGTTGTAATAGTTGAAGTAATATTACAAATGACAACACAGAGCTTGACGACACCAGGGGTACTGAATGGATTGTGATCTAACAGTAGGTTGCAAAGAACACTAGTAGATGATGCGTGTGTGTATATATAAGTATATACAGTATATATATATATATATATATATATATATATATATTGAATGTAGCTGTTGTATTTTAGCCTGGTCGTCTGACTTGTAGCGCCGAAGCCAATGAAGCGTGGACACTTCATGACTGGACCATAAGAAAACATGTCAGTGTTTTTGATGCTGCGGATGCAAAAGGTGAAGGAATTATTAATAGACCGACCAGCCCATGCAGGACATGCCACAACAGTACATTTTTGCACAGTGTGTACAGCTGACACAGCAGTGCCAGATAACCTTGAAACTGGCAGGCAGCACCATCTGTCCATTAGTCTGTGCAGGGACAGCAACACTGACCCTCATGACAGAGGTCGGCTGCTTCTGCACGCAGCGTTTACACAGCAGCTATACATCCTATGCACTGGGGCCAGGTCTGTGGAAGCAGCTGTGATATTGGTCAGTATATCTAATGGCTAGAGGAAAACAGCGACAATAAGCGATACTCTGCTTAACACAGCAGAGGTCAAAGGAGAATCAAGTCAGACTACGACGGCTCCGTCGTCAACCCCACACTGGTAAGTGTTGTTTGCATTCACTGGCATTTCACTCCTGTCTGCTTGTCCCGCTGTGACCCTACAAATGTGCCCTTAAATATGCAGCACAACACGACCGACTCTCTGCGAAGGAGAAGCAAAGCAAGACCTGGACTCACTGCTGTGTTCCTGTTTGTATAAACAGTAGGTAGTGCTGCTCCACGCCGTCCTGGCTGGCAGAGATTCACAGCTTCGTCGGTGTAGCATAAATATTCATTTATGACCTTGGTGCAAACAAAAATGTACGCAGGCATATGTTGATGTACACTTGTCTAACCTTGAAGCCGTATTCCACACCCACGCCGGTGTTTTGACATTAATTTACTGTGAGTTCCAGTGTCTCGAACCCACAACCCCGGCAAGTGAAAGAGCAGGGAAGATGAATACATCGTATTTCAAACACATTACATCACAGTCTCCTCTATGTGTTTTGACTGCACTTGAGCTCATCTGTGAGCCATCTGTTTTTCAGACTACGTTGGGATCGACATCAACACTGACTGTTTGGCAAATCTCTCAAAAACTGATCAAATGACTGAATCTTTGAACTGAGCGTAGAAATCCAAGTTTTGATAAAAACCATGAAATAATTTACATTACATTAACAGAAATAAAAAATACTATCCAGCGCAGTATTTAATGGCAAACTTAAAAAAGTGACTGATTGAAACACCTTCAGACGGTTCTATTTTGTCAAAATAAATTTTAAAAAAATATATATAATTTCTATACCTTTGCAGTGAATTGACAAAATATTTCAAACTCACCGCTGAGTGCTTCTTGTTCCGGCGTTTCTTCTTCCTCTTGCCTTGTTTGTGCGCCAGGCGGGGATTGTTCTCCTGGTCAGACGACTGGTGGTGGTGATTGTTCCTGTAGTTCTCCAGACTCAGGCCGTTGGGCACTCTGACATGCTTCTTCTTGTGGAGAGGCCCTGCCTGGTTCTCACTGCAGTCACGTGGCTTCAGGGTTGAGTTCTTCTATAAGGAGCACAGGAAGGAGACTCGTGTAAGAATCAAAAGACATTTATACGACAACGCGCTGTTAGTTTGACAAAACTCTGCTTGAAATCGTACTGCTGTTCATGAGATGGTAAAAGTGGGCTTCTGGGATTTTCTCTCGGAATATCCATCCATCCCTCATCACTACCAATTACTTATTGTCAAGGTCATGATGGGACCAAGAGGCAATCCCAGCAGCCTTTAGGGGAGGAGGCAGTTCAGTCTGGACAGTTAACTTACAAACGACTTTTCTCACTCACATTTTTATCTTTAGCGTCCAGTTAACCTGGTCCGTAATTTGCATGTTTGAGTGGAGAAAAAACTGCAATAGACCAAAATATAAAAAATAATAATAAAGATTGAAGATAGTGTCAGAAATACTAAATGCAGAAACTTAATTAAAAATAGTTTAAAACTAAATAATTAAAAAATTAATTAGTTTCTAGAAATAAAAAAGTAGGATTAAAATTTCCTTTTTTGATATTAAATAAAAATGTCTTTACAATAAAGACTCTTCTTGTAATTTATAGGCAACTACTTACATATAAATAATGCTGTGACAGGGAGTGTTCACCAAGCATGGTAACCCTTATTACTGACTTATTTAAGGAGCAACTATTGTGTAATTTTATTATCTAATTCACTGGACGCCATTTGTTCTAGAAAATTAATTTCATTAGCTTAGAATTTGGGTTTAATAGTGTGTCTTAATGTCCCAAAATAAATCATTTTTCAGTCAATCTAATCCCAATGGTTTGGGATGAAATAAAAAAAATGTGGAAAAAAAAACAAAAAACTAGTTCACCACACTCAGTCCAAACACTCGTCAAGGAGGGGAGGTGGGATTATGGGGATTATGTTGTATTGTTTGACAGGGCCTAGGCTACAGTGAGCAAAAAAAAAGGTCTTGGATGTGAATCGATTCCACAGCCTATTGAAAATATCGTGGTGGCTTCAAGTTTGTGACTGAAATAATATCAAAGCAGCTCATCATAAGTTACTGCTGAGAACAGGATCCACAGAAAACCCAGCACTAAGAAACTCACCACTGAAGGACCACACTGAAAAACAATAATCAGAGGCTTCAGTCATACATCATCTAATCTCATTGGCCTTCGTCGCCTGCCCTCATCCAAAGCAAATAATCAACATGACATACTTTGTCAGAGCAAAGAATAAGTGAGGACGCTCCGACGCGGCCGACACATTGTTATTTATCATCTCAGAGGGAGCCTGCAGTATTCTTCTATTTTTGATATTAAAAGTCACATTAAAAAGCACATTATAGTGTTTCCCCTGTCTTATAACGAGTGCAGCTGACAGATGCTATAGAGCAGGGATTTCCCATCACAGATCGCATCCATGCAAAACGGGCCTCTGTCACACACACTGGAAAACACAGTAAAATGCAACATACACTTTCAACTTTATATTCGCAACAACAGGCTCATCTGTGCTAACTGTTAATTAATGTCAAATGGCTGAAAGCCACTGATGACTCAGGCGAGCAGCGATTGCATCCTCTACATTACCAGGGTTCATATAGTTATAGTTAGTAAACAACATATAGTTATATATGTAACCATATGTTACAATACAGTAAATCATACAGTGTTGGGTAAATACGTCTCAAAAGCGTGACTTGGTGCAGAGTAAGCGCCTCGTCCGTCCACTGCACTGTTAACTGGAAAGAGACTTATCATGCACAAAGGTCCGTCCACTGGTGTTTTATGAAATCGCTCATATGGTAGAAGAACAAATCTCCCAGTTAGTGCTCCTGTCTTCACTCCTGATGTTAAAATACCTCCAAACAGCCGACACCGTTGACCTTCTAACATAAACCACCCACAGGGGCAACGAGACACTGACCTGCAAAAGGAAAACGAATAACACTCGCTGACCGATGGGCAGGCGGAAGTTTCAGGTCTTATACCAACAGTCTTCACCTACAGGCAATGGATTTTTGTTTTGGAATGCACACGTCCATGGACTAATGCAGCACAAGTGCTCCATGGCATTTCATCCTGAAGCTGCTCATTAACAATTCATCGATAGCAGAAACTGGAAAAAGCTGACAATAAAGTCTGTGCTTCCACATTCACAGTGAGGAAGAGAGCAAATGAAAGAATGGAAAGTGTAGCTGGCCAAGAATGGATGCAGACTTACAACAATAATCTGAAATGAGTCAGTCCATAAAGATGATAAATGGAAGGGACAGTAGGTAATCAGCTGATGATTTCATTATGAGAAACAAAATGACGGCATCCAGGTTACGGAATGGAATATGTTTTATTTTAACTAAACAGTTTTGTTCTCAGTATCCGGAATTTTTCTTCAGTATAAAGTAAAAACACTGGCCAACCGTCGCTGATTGGAGTGGCACTAATGCCCATCGACCCCCCGTCGCTGACATCCCTGATTTATTTTGTCTTGATTTTGGCTGAGTTGTACACATGACTGTAGCCTATAAATGTTTTATTTCTGTGTAATATAACTTTATTCCATCCAGTTTATCCCACTTGGCTCTTTGGACGGCTGCCTTTCTGGTTCTGCACGTACGATCGGGCATTTTAAAATAACAACACCCTCAATGCCAAAATACAAAGATGTTGAAAACGTGTTTTGTTTCAAGTGTGAGTCATTTATTACCGACGGAGTCATAAAGGAGCAGCTTCTGGATACAGCTGTAAAGTAGCTGTTGGAGCGTGGCTGCTTTTTCAGAGGACAGTGATCCACGTCACCGCAGCCTGATGACATTTGAGCCGCACATTAATGAAAGGCTGATCAGAGTCTGATCAATGTGAATTACTGACACAGTTTAATTCAATCTCCTACTTAAAGGTGAGTTAGCGGATAAAACGAGCAACAAACGGACGCTGCTAGATGAAAAGAGACGGACAAAGACGCTGAGGATAATCGATCAAACAAGAAGTTTGATTGTCCCCCACAATAACAATAACACTGCATTAGGCTCTTTCCACACACACGCACTTTCCTAGGAACAAAGTAAACAATGATTGGCAATCTAATGAATGCCAAAAAGGGCCACGTAATCCCCCCCTTGTGGACTACTCCAGCGGAGCAGTTCTTATTAGTTTGAAGTACTTATTTAAGTTGAGCAGTAAACTGTCATTCTTCAGAGAGCCCTCAACCTGAGATTTCCAGCCGAACAAGCTCTAAGTGGCGAGTGTTGGAGACTGCCGGGCGAAACCCTGCAGCAGCCGTGGTTATGATGAAATCAAACAGTCACTGAAAACAACTGGATATTTGCATCCTGTTGAGGATGATGCAAACGTGTAGCAGTCGCTGAGAAAGTACCTTTGTTATTCCAAAGGGGTTTTTTTTCTTGGAAACTATTTACAGACAAACTGTACATAAATGATGGAATCAATAGTAATTCATTAATATTTTTAATTATCTTGCAACTTACACTCCATATTAAAAAAATGTGATTAACCAATTAATTGCTTGATCTCTGCAATTAACTCTAGTTAACATGATTATTTTCAAAGATTAAAAAATAAATTCAAGTTTGTGTTTTGTACATTAGGAATACTTTATGAACAGAGGTGGTAAAATAAATGTAAATAGTTTGTAACAAATTCTTGGACTTTTTTGTAAATGTCTTACTGATTAAAAGTACTCACAGAGATCACGACCAGAAGCAGAAAAAAATATTGTGTCTCTAATTCTTCACATCCTTTAAACAGTGAAGGCTTTTTTAGAAAATAGGAATAAAGGAAAATACCTCTGTATACAGTGAGGGGTATGAGTGATGACAGGGTAACTGTATGTATTGGTGTTTTTCAAGGCTGCTGTTGAACACTAAGTTAAAGAATTTCAATGTCAAATGTAGTAACACTGTTTTCACAGAGTTCTGGAGACAGACACCAACCAGTGCAGCGTTGACTAATGACGGACTACTGAATCACTGTTTAGTCCAAACACATTTTTAAACAATTGCTGCAGCAAATGGAGTTGGAACCCAAGCAAATACTCCAGCCTGCAAAGTAACACACTGCAAAAAAAAAACCCAAAAGATCTCGGCTGCAAAAAGGAAAGACTGTCAGTTAGGAAGAGCTAATGGCGAGAATGTCACGGTCTCCTGGGAGAGTGCATCTGAGGTGTCACAGTCACAGCTCTACATAAACCCCGGTGCACAGCACAGGATTTTCCCAGAAGTGAGAGTGTAGGTCAGGGGTGCCAAACATACGGCCCGTGTTCCAAAACGGCCACTAAGGTGTAGATAGTTAAAACAAACGAATACTTTAACGTTTACATTATATATAATATATTACCTCAACTAATTTTGAGTTCCTACTTTTTCCTAAAGTTTTATTTCCAAACTCAGCTTCCTGAAGGAGCTCCACGCACACACCAGTGCTCGAGCTTTCACTGCTGTCAGGCATTTTTTGGTGTGGAAGTAAAAGTTTTCACAATTTGCACCTTAGTAAAAAAAAATAAGTAAAGGTTTTCGGTGAAGCCTAGCGTACACGTGTAAGCACACACAGACACAAACACACCAATGCAAGTACACACACACAAAAAGGGTGAAAAGTACTCCTCGAGAAGAAAAGATACCCGACCAATTTTCTGCCATTAATCTCATAATAGCAAAGAAAAGTCATCCACTTTACTCAGCTTGGTGCATGAAAACAGTCAGAGGAATATCCTGTGCACGACTTTCTGACTTCCTGCCTGTGGCTGTCCAACCAATTTTATTTTTTTTTTCTCAGAGAGCGGACAGACCTGTGGGAGCTGCAGTGATGGCTGATCTCACAGACCAGGTGTCTTATCACACGACTTGAGCTAAACAGCCATGTAATAATACTATTACTGGTCATATTACTATGATACATTGCGCCGTACAAGTATACTTTTTTTATTGACTTCATTATCGTATTGATTCGTTGGATACATTTGCTTTAGAAATACTGTCCCTACATTTAGATCAAAACCAACGTTTTGATTCATCTGCG